AGATCAGGGGGTTCTCCTCATGAGGCATGTAATAAAGTTTAAGGTTAAAGAGTAAAAGCAAAGATGATGGCTTAAATAGGCTTTCCACAACACTAAAATACATTGGCAGATGACAACTGAGAAGTTATACAAATCCTGTGGTTCCACATTATACAACAAACTCTTAAGACAAAAATCTTTCTATATAAGTGTTCTACTTTAGCAGTAAAGAAAATTCAAAACATTGTCCCATGAATTTTATTAACCACTCTCTCTCTCTTTATATATATATATATATATTATAAATGATGTAGAAAGTGTTTAGAGTAATTCAGGATTAAAATATATAATTACTGGAAGGGGGGTTACTCTGACTAAGGTTCCCAGGGCAGAAGGTACTGTGTTTTTCCACTCACGCTAAAAACTCATTCAAATGGAGAATTTTGTTAGAAAAATAAACGTTTCAGCATTCTTCATCCTGCTCCTCCCACTTGTGCACGTACGGAGGAAGGTTGACGAGCCTCGGGCAGCCACCTCAGCCAATTAAAAAAGAAACAGATCTAGAAAGTGAGTATTTAGCTGGTGGGTAAGATGAGTCCCAGGCAAACAGTTACGGTCACTTTATACACGAGCTGCTCCGGCACCGGGGGTTTAGAACAAAACATCTTATTTTAGGGATTAGTTGCCTTTGTTTAACAAAACGTACAAGGTTAAGGTTACTTCCTCAAAACCTCCCGATAAATTCCGCACGGACAGCAGCGTCGTTACGCTGCAGCCACCGCAGATGCTCATTTTCTCTTTCACTTTGGTCCACTCACACCACAATGTTATGAGAAGGGTCACGGGGTGGGAAACTCAAGCAACTTAACACATGAAAGCACCAAGTCCGCTCTTGGCCTGCAAGTCTGTGTGTGATTAACTGAAAGAAACAAAACATAAAAAAAAAGAAGCATGAATTAACGTTATGAATATTAAACAAAAGCCAAACGTAGCGAAATATGTTAAAAAAGAAAAAAAAAAAAACACAGAGGAGAAGGGCAAATGCTGCTCAGGCAGGTGGAGCCCCAGAGAGGAGAGCAACCCCAGACCACAGCTCACACGAACGCTTCGATTTCCCCTCAGCACCTGCGACTCTCCCAGCTCTGCTTTTTACCTATTAAAGCTACTAAAACCACTCTGTTGAAACAGCAGATGGTAAAAGGTTCAACTAACTCTCCTAAAAATTGAAACAAGAAAACTAACAAGAAAACCTCACTCCCCCCTCCCCGAGATCCCAATCTTTATTCCCCCTCCCCGAGCTCACAATAAATTCCCAGGTGCCAACATCCTGCCCAGAAGCCCAGGATGTGTCTCCTCCTGCATCCCCATCCCCGGGGGGCTGCGGGGGCTCTCTAGGGAGCCGTGGGTGCTGGTTGAAAGACCTCAATAAAAAAGCCAGCAAGATGGGTGAGGGCTGTGCTCTCCAACACACAGGTCTCACGAGACCCCCCCAGCTCCTTCTGAGGGCCCCCAAATGAAGAGGGGGTCTGGGAAACGTGGGTCTTCCAGATGAAGAGAGAGAGGGTCCAGGTCACTGCCAAGGCCAAGGGGAGGCACCTTCCTTTGAACTTTTTATGACAAATTTTGAGCAGAAACCCCCGATACCACATTTTGAAGTAGCTCACAGGTTTTCGAAATAGACCGCAACCCAACAAACCCACCAAACCCAATCCAGACCTACTTCTTCTCCCTAATTTATTAATCTTTATTCCTCTAGCTGCACTCCGGAGCTGAACAGAGCCCCCCCCGGCCCCAGCACCCCACTGCACAGAGCACATGCTGCGGATGCCCCTTGGTCCTTCATACGCACCCAACCTGTCTTCTCCTGGCCCTGCTTCTGACCCAGGCTGGTCTCTGATCCCCACCCAGCAGAAGAAGAGTGTCCGGACTCATGGCTGCGGGTGGGCTACAACCAGCAAAGGGCAGGAAACCTATTTCTGTCACGGACAGACGGAGCTGGGGGGGGCTGCAGTTTCCGTGGGGCAGCGCACACAGAGCATCCCCACCAGAGCATCCCGGTGACCGGCATCGCTCACACAAGGTGACAGCATGTGGCTCAGTGTGCTCCTCTTCTCCACAGCAGACCTGGGCCCCAGCCTGCCCCTAATTCATGTGCGGGTTGAGCTGGATTAAACCCTGTCTTCAGCAAAATCTCTCCTGTGAGGACAGGCTGAGAGAGTTGGGGGGGTTCAGCCTGGAGAAGAGAAGGCTCCGGGGAGCCCTTGGAGCCCCTTCCAGTCCCTCAAGGGGCTCCAGGAGAGATGGGGAGGGACTCTGGAGGAGGGAGGGGAGCCCTAGGAGGAGGGGGAAGGGTTTGACCCTGCAAGAGGGGAGATGGAGCTGAGCTGTGGGGAAGAACTTGTTTGGTGTGAGGGTGGTGAGAGCCTGGCCCAGGTTGCCCAGAGAAGCTGTGGCTGCCCCATCCCTGGAGGGGTTGAAGGGCAGGTTGGAGGGGGCTTGGAGCAACCTGGTGTGGTGGGAGGTGTCCCTGCCCAGGGCAGGGGGTGGCACTGGGGGGACTTTAAGGTCCCTTCCAACCCAAACCATTCTGTGATTCTGTGAATGTATTTCACAAACCGTTCTGGACATTGTGTGTGAGGTGGGACATGCCCAGAGGGTGCTGAGAGGTCTCCAAGGAGGGAGCACTTTGGCTTTAACACCAACACTTCTACATTCCAAGGAGACACAGGAAGTAATTAATACACACTGTGATTTTCCACAGGAAGACAGGAGTTACCAGGACGAAGAGTGAGCTCCTCCAGTGCCACAGGTCACAGCAGAGAAATGACAGAGCACAACATCTCATCGGCAGCGTGAAGCCAAACGTTGTGTTGCCAAGAGTTAACTCAGGTGTTGCTCCTCTCGATGGTCTGTCTTTCTTTTATGCCACAAAAAGGCTCAGAAGGCATTGCCACTGGCCTGGGCTGGGTTTGGCACGGTGCAGTTCTGACTTTTAAGCCCCTACCCAGTGTTTCTTGAAGACTGGTCTGAATGGGAGCAGGATAAACCCCCCCCACCTCTTCTTTTCAAACCTCTTTGCCCCATTGCTGCTCTGTCATTACCCAACCAGGCAGCTGAACCAGCATTATTTCCATGCCCTTGCTCCTCACTGGCTTCAGTCAATTAACTTGCAGCAAGATAAGAATTCTGCCTTCAGGGGAAAAGAGCTTTCTCCACCCCATTGCTGCTGTCATAACACGACCAGGCAGCTGAACCAGCATTATTTCCATGCCCTTGCTCCTCACTGGCTTCAGTCAATTAACTTGCAGCAAGATAAGAATTCTGCCTTCAGGGGAAAAGAGCTTTCTCCTGAGCAGAACCGTGTCTTGGAGCCCTGTTTCGCATGAAGCCCTAATGAATTTCAATCCCAGCTTCACTCTAAGCTGCTGTTTCCCTCTTTACAGCTCTGCCTCTAAAAATAAAATTAAGTGCAGCCTCCAAAGAGGGCCCAAAGCCTAGAGATCACAGTGAGGTAGCGTAGACAGGGATCTCCTCCACCTCTTGCCCCATTGCTGCTCTGTCATTACCCAACCAGGCAGCTGAACCAGCATTATTTCCATGCCCTTGCTCCTCACTGGCTTCAGTCAATTAACTTGCAGCAAGATAAGAATTCTGCCTTCAGGGGAAAAGAGCTTTCTCCTGAGCAGAACCGTGTCTTGGAGCCCTGTTTCGCATGAAGCCCTAATGAATTTCAATCCCAGCTTCACTCTAAGCTGCTGTTTCCCTCTTTACAGCTCTGCCTCTAAAAATAAAATTAAGTGCAGCCTCCAAAGAGGGCCCAAAGCCTAGAGATCACAGTGAGGTAGCGTAGACAGGGATCTCCTCCACCTCTAAGCCATTACAGCTGTGTCACAATTGTCCCCGCTCCTCTCCGCTGGGCAGAAGGTGCAGTTTATTCCTAGTCCCCTTCCCAGCTGTCCCAGCAGCTCGCAGGGATCACTGGAGCTGGCTGTCACAGAGCCAAGGGCAGATGCCCTTGCTCCTCACTGGCTTCAGTCAATTAACTTGCAGCAAGATAAGAATTCTGCCTTCAGGGGAAAAGAGCTTTCTCCTGAGCAGAACCGTGTCTTGGAGCCCTGTTTCGCATGAAGCCCTAATGAATTTCAATTCCAGCTTCACTCTAAGCTGCTGTTTCCCTCTTTACAGCTCTGCCTCTAAAAATAAAATTAAGTGCAGCCTCCAAAGAGGGCCCAAAGCCTAGAGATCACAGAGGTAGCGTACAACAGGGGTCTCCTCCACCTCTAAGCCATTACAACTGTGTCACAATTGTCCCCGCTCCTCTCCGCTGGGCAGAAGGTGCAGTTTATTCCTAGTCCCCTTCCCAGCTGTCCCAGCAGCTCGCAGGGATCACTGGAGCTGGCTGTCACAGAGCCAAGGGCAGACCCTACAGGGGGGTCTCAGCCCAGACTGTGAATCTCTCCCACCTGCAGCCACCAGGACTTCCCCAGGGCACAGGAGGGCCCTGTCCCTCCTCCGCTTGAAGCAAAATGCCCTTTTCCGTTTGCTGTCCAAGCAACGGACCAGACATCAAAGCCTCTGAGCAGACACCCAGCAGCAGAGGAGAAAGACTCCAGTTCAGTCACTTTGAGGTAGCGTAGACAGGGATCTCCTCCACCTCTAAGCCATTACAGCTGTGTCACAATTGTCCCCGCTCCTCTCCGCTGGGCAGAAGGTGCAGTTTATTCCTAGTCCCCTTCCCAGCTGTCCCAGCAGCTCGCAGGGATCACTGGAGCTGGCTGTCACAGAGCCAAGGGCAGACCCTACAGGGGGGTCTCAGCCCAGACTGTGAATCTCTCCCACCTGCGGCCACCAGGACTTCCCCAGGGCACAGGAGGGCCCTGTCCCTCCTCCGCTTGAAGCAACGAGGACTTAGGGTTCCAAAATGCCCTTTTCCGTTTGCTGTCCAAGCAACGGAGCAGACATCAAAGCACCTGAGCAGACACCCAGTGGCAGAGGAGAAAGACTCCAGTTCAGTCACTTACTTTTTCTTGTCTTTGTCCTTCTTCAGCGGCTGCTGTGAGGTAGCCTGCAAGGATTGGGACTGCAAGGTTTCCACCGCTACTTTCCGCCTGTTGAAAGCGTTCATCTCTTCCTCCAGCTCCCTCCTCTTCTCCTCCACCTTCCTTTTCTCTTCCTGGTGTATCCTTTTTAAGTGCTCAAATTTCTCGTGCAGCTGGGAGGAGACAGACCCTCTGAGCATCACCTGCAGCGGGACCCTGGGGCTGCACCTTCCCCGGCGCCACCATCCCACCTCCTGCACGAATCCCCTCCACCCCATGGACACCGGCCAGTGCCCCTGCACCCTGCAACCCCCCCAGCAGAGCTGACCTCGGGGCAATCATGGCCTTTTCACCAAAAGAGTGAAGATAGAGTCAATTCAGCTCTGCCCGACACCACGTATCAAACGGGAGGAAGCCTGAGCCCTGGAGAAGGACAGTGAGGCCCTTGGCTCCGTCTGCAGCCCCACCATGGGCTGTGGGCATCGAGGCCTCTTTTGCTCTTTGCTGGCTTTGAAGGTGCTCCATTTATTTCCTCCCCAGTCATGGCAGCTGCTGGTGGGCTCACACCACCAACCTGGGGGACTCCAGCCCAGCTGCCCCCTTTATTCTGCTCTCCAGTGAGCCTCCAGGGCAAAGTCTACCCAACGTGGATGCTCACCAAAATGTCCCACATTGCCCTTCACTCCCTGGGCAGCAGCTGAATCTCCTACACACTGCACAGAACTGGGAAGAGTGTTGTCCCTGAGGCACCTAAACCAGTGATGCTGTTTTGAAAACATTACCCTGTGTCCCCTGCCCTGAGTGTGTTTGTGCTTTGCCTGGTGGGGTCTGCTCAGGAGCTGCATGTGCTTTCCAGGATTCATAGGTTGCCCATTCCAAAACCCTACACCAGCTGTATTTTTGGGCTCCTCTCACAGGTTTTTGGCACACCCACCTCTCTCTCCTTCTCCTTCAGCTCTGCCTCTGTCTCCTTGACTTTGTTAACAAACATTTGTCTCATTTCCTCCTCTTTCTTCTGGAGCTCGCCCAAGAACTCTTTCCTTTTGGTCTCGTATGTTTCTTGGAGGCTGGGGAAGAAAGCAAACAAAATCCAGACTCTTTGGACACCGAAGAGTTAGAGATGGGGAAACGCAGGCCCCTGTGTGATGTTTAAAGACAAACAGGTAGGGAAAGGAAGGGAAGGGAATGCCACCAGAGGCAGCTGCAAAGTATTTTCTAGTCCAGCATTGCGGATACCACCTAAAACCTCCCATTTTTGGGGTGTCAGTACCAAACTACTGCCCTAAATTGATGCTAGATATGAAGGCCCCTCACCTGAAGGGCTGGCTGTCTGGATCCGTGTCCTTAAAGCCCATCTCCTCCAGTTTGCACCTCCTGTAGAGCTCGTAGTGGCGGGTGTGAGTCTGCTCCCGAAGATCCTCCATGTTGACTCGAATCAGCATCTCCCGCAGTTTCACAAAGTCACAGTGACTTTCATTCTCCACTGAGAGAAGCAAAGGGAGACATCAGCAAAATGCAGACATGGTGGGGGGAGCACAAAGGCACACACAGATTCACTCCAGAGACTCCCCTCCCAAGGACCCTCTACCCGTTGTCCCGCACAGGGCACAACACGACCCCCTGGATGCAGGGATTCCACTTGACCATTACAACCTGCTGGTAGGAATGGGAATTCAAAGAAAAGACTGGCCAGCCCTCAAAAGGCTGCAGAGGACATTCCTGCATGGTTTAGGACCTTCATGCAGACGTGTCCACACACGAGGGAGGTTTGTGGTGGGCACCTTACCTTGCACCACTCCCCACGGGTACTGCCGGGCTCTCACCAGCTTGTTCCCAACCTTCACCTCCTCCGTGCTGCCGACCACGGCGAAGGGCAGATGGGCCTGCAACAGAGCTGAGATCACAATTCTGTACTCTGAGGGTGCCAGAGCCCTGGAAGAGGCTGCCCAGAGAGGGTGTGGAGTTTCCTTCTCTGGAGACATTCAAAACCTGCCTGGACACGTTCCTGTGCGACCTGCTCTGGGTGGACCTGCTCTGGCAGAGGGTTGGAGGAGATGGTCCAACCACCAGGTCTGAATTTAATCTTTGAATTTCAAAACAGACAGAATAGAGTCTGACAGTTTTTCTTCTTTGTTTTAAATTGGGTTTTCTCTGTTTAGCCTCCTTAAGTCAGAAGGCTAATGTCAATCTTAACTGTAAAATTTTTATTCATAATTTCTCCTTACTCAAATGAGAAGTACTCTAAAAGCAGACAGAATGAATTTCGAATAAAGTATTTTTCAAAAATTCAGTAAGATGAATTTTGGAGCTGAGCTGAGTTTCTCCAGAGAGCCCACGGATTAAACGAGAGCCACGTTTTAATTAATTCTGTACACAATAGCCTTGGGCATCTGTCAGATCCACAGCTCAACTTTCAAACAGATTTAGCATCTGGACAATTCCACTGAAAGTTGCCCTTCAAATGCATTTTTGTGCAGTGATTTAATTTGTCACAACTTCTGTGGGCATCACGATGGGCAGTGTTACTCACGTTCATCACAGAGTTGATCTCAGCCACCGCTTCGTCGTCTGTGGGGAACTGGTAGATCTGCACACCATTGCTGACCAGCTCACTCATTATCTTTATCTTGAACTTGTGCAATTCGCTCTTGGAGATGGTGTCTGCTTTGGCAATAATGGGGATGATGTTCACCTGCGGCAGAGAGAAAGGAGGAAGGAAAAATAAGCAGGTGAGCAGCAGCTGGGCAAACAGCTCTGCAGGGAGGTGGGAGCCCGTGGGGTGACCCCAGTCCTACCCCCCTCTGGCTGCTTTATATTTCCATAAAACCACAAAGCTGCTCTGTTTTGCGTGCGAGCTGCAGCACGAGCCCAGCTGAACGCTAGAGGGAAGAGTTTTCCAGGACTAATTTGGCTATGAGACTTCCAGATAAACCAAAAGACAAACTCCCCGCGATAAATACCCGATGAGCAGATCAAAGCCTCCGCTCTCACTTCTGTGTTTTGTTACACGCTGGGAGGGAGGCAGAGATGGTGTAACTGTCACACCTCCAGTTGTCACCTATCGCTCCTGGCTGTGCTGAACAAGCCGCTTTAAAGACAAGGGCAAGGCTGGGAGGCTGCAGTGAGCTGATGGGAAGCCTTCCCCTGCTTCAGAAGGAGCAGCAGCTCCTCAGATGCTTTCACAGCAGTGGTGGATCCCTTCCCAGGACTCCTGGGGCCTCTCCGTGAGGATCACAACCTGGGCATGCTGTGGGGATTACAGGCACCACCGGGGAAAGGCACAGGGTGCCCCAGGGCAGGCAGGAGAGCTGGTCTCATGCTGTCCTTTGCTCAGCTTTGGTTTCCATCAGCAGACACCGAGCACAAGACACAGCTCCATTGCACAAAGCCACCCGTGGGGTGGGGAGGTCCCCCCTGCACTCAGTACTTACAGCAAACAAGGGCCACGTCCCACATCCTTCAGGGGGGGATGTGGTTTCGCTGTGACCCCAAGCTTTGAAGAGCTACAGCAGGGCAGGGTCTGTCACAGGAACCTCTATTAGATAATGCTGCTGTGCCCAGAGAAGCCAAACACAATACTGCAAACCACTGCTTCAACAAACACCACCACACAGCCCCCCCAGCCTGAACAGCGGCTGAGCTCAGAGCAGCCAAACACAAGGATTCAGAGAAATGAGGGGAAAGTCTGCTTTGCCATCTAACATTTCCCAACAGCCAACGCTTCTCGTCCTGCAGAGCAGAAAATTCACAGCAGCCATTCGGTCTCCAGTGGGTGCCCATTAAAACAAATAACCCTGTTTCCCAGCTCCAGTTCTCTTTGTAGCTCAGTGGTTTTTTCCATACTTCTTGGGCTTCACCCCCCGCCCCGAATCCCCCTCTGGTTTAGCACTCACTAAATACGACAGCATTTACTCACTCCAAAAGAAAACAGTCTTAATTTGCTCATTGCAAATTTATCTGAGAGGATAAATTCCTTCTTTTTCTCAGCCACTGATCTGGCCTCTGTTACCAAGGACCACAAACCCAGGCAGAACCCTGTCTGCTGCTCACTCCTCTCCTCGGCAGGCTGATGGCCTCATTGCAGAGGGGAAAGGGG